CTTCTGAAGCTGCTGCCCCCGCGACCCGACCCCGGATAGGCGGAAGAAAATGGATGGATGGATGAAAAAACCATCTAAATAAGTAGTGAGGTGTAAAAATGAGTTTGCCACTCACAAAGGTGTGTGGGTGTTGGTGTGTCCACGCGTGTGCTGCTGTCCTCAGCGGCGCATGAGGCTGAGAGACATTTCCACCTTTACACGTCTTTAATAAATGACTGTAAACACAGAGGAGCTATGAGTTTGGTAGAACTTAGAAAAATATTTATTAAATAGTTGATGTGAAGAAACAAGTCACAGCGTTTCTGCCGCAGTGTGATTTATGTTTTAGAATCATGAAGTCTCTCATTCAGCTGCATGGCTCGACTCACTACACTACAGTAAAAAAAAAACCTGATTGTAATTTTTTTCGGTGTGATTCAAAAAAACAAATTAAAAAACACACTGCCCTCAATTCTTCTTGTGGTGATATCAATCTGCAGAGAAGCTGACATTGATCTACAAATTACGCTCAACTTTACGCAGCAACAAATCTATTGTCTGCATCTTGTGGAGCTGAGGAATCATCACAGCTGAGCTGTTCTGAATTAATCTGCTGAGTTGACAACATTTTTTTCTCAGTGAGAATTAAAATGTTTCTTAGACAATTCCTCAGCTGTGTGTGCACCTCGCAGGCCATGCGTTCTGCATGTTTCCAACTACGTGACAAAAATATAAACAGTTTACAGTTTACAGACTGGACTGAGGTTCTTTTGATCATTTTTAGGCTGATCTATTTTCTTGTGAGTTTCAGTCCTGGAGTTCAGTTTCATGATCGTTCGAGTTTAAACAATAAAAACTCAAACTAAAGTAAAAATCTGACACCGTGTTCAGACGCTCCTTACATCCAGAAAACAGAACAGAGTCATATTTCTGTGGATTCAGGTCAGATTCATGACTTTTTGAGTTAAAACTGTCGACTGAAAAACTTTGCGTGGCTGCCGAACATTCTCACGGCAGGTGAAAAGTGTACGTAAATATACGCACTTTCATGCAACGTTGGTTTTGATACATCCCAACGTGGGCAAAGAACCTGGCGCACGCAACTTTTTTATCCTTACGCACCGTTTATACATGAGGGCCCTGGTTTTGTAAGCTCCACCCCCTCTGGACCGGTCCACTCCGGTTTGAGAGAGGCGGTTAGCATTTTCTAGCAGTGAAGGGACATTTTATTTACAATTTAATTAAAATATATCAGCAACACAAGACTTGTCCATCCAGCCTTACATGTTGGAGCCAGAGTCTGACCCAGAACCAGAGGAGAATTAAAACGAGGAAATTGTAGTTGGTAAGTCCAGAACTTATTTGGCAATTCCATCGCAGATAATTTCACGTAAAATTTCACGTAATAGAAAATAGAGAAAACTGAATGGGCTGCAAAATCTGCCCCAAACAAAATATAAACATGCAGCACCAGGAGAAACTGAATTCAACTTTTCTGTCTCCTAGAGATGCCAAGTCCACAACAAAATGTATCTAACAGCTAAAAAAGTGGATTTTGCATGAAATATCCCATTTAAGGAGTAAGATCTATTTTCTATTTTTTCAGATATGTACTGCATGTTTTGTACTATATATTATTTTTACAAACTGAGTAGAAGTGTTGCTCTTTCTACAGATTAAACAGTGAAAACAGGCATGATTACTGAGCTCATATGGAACTCCTAACTTTGTATTTATTAAGGTCGTATTCAGACCTGATAATTTGCTCCGCTTTAAAACGAATCAGAGTTTGTTTCCAGCGTTGGTCCGGACCTTTTCTGCAGGTGTGAATACACTCATGCGAACTCTGGTGTGGATCAAACAACCGGACCGAGACCTGCTTTTTGAGGTGGCCTCGGTCCGCTTCCAAACGAACTCTGGTGCAGTTCGCTTCAGTTCTCTTCTGGTGTGAATACAGACCGGACTRTAACCGAACCAACTGCATTAAACATGCACCTTTTTGGACTTCACAGGCCACTGCTGCTGAGCTAAATAAACTGAAAACATACTTGTTTCGTCGTCTCCTGTTAGCAGCTCTGCTGCAGCATGTAGTGGGTCAGAACACACTGTGTATCTCGTCTCCTTTGGGTTGCGGGACACATTTACTGACACCGCTCCAAAATTAGAATATCATCACAGAACCACCATTAAATTAGCTGCTTCTGACATTTTAAATGCTATTGCAGTTGTACTATCAGCAAAAATGTATGCATCAGAACCGCAGCATGCAGGATTTCCTTGTTTTCTTCTGGATCTGTGGCTAAGTCCCGCCCCCATCCTTTCTGTCCAATGGGAGCAATGATCGTCAGCCTCATGGCTTTGTTTACAAGTTATAGTTCATTTGCAAAAAAGCACAATGTGAATGCAAGCTGCACTAAACGAAAAAAAAATAAAGTTCATTTTTGGCCCGGACCAAACAATTGGACCAAAGGACTTTCCTGGTCTGAATACACCCTAAGTTTCTGTGCTCAGATTCTACTTTTACTGTTATGGTTCTAAAAGTGATCGAACATTTAGTTTCACTTGTTCGTCATTCTTAAAAATCTAGTCCAAAGGGGACAAAATATGTTGGAGATAAAATGTCACAAAACAAGTGTTGTTTTGTACCTGGGGGAGGCCTGGGGAACTCCTGAGGGAGGAGCCAGACAAACCTTTCTTCATGTGCTGCATCCTGAATGAAAGCACATCCAAAACATCAGAGCTCAATATTGCTTCAGTTTCTGCACTCATCTGAGGTGTTGGGCCTTGTTGAGGGTCTACCTGCTGATGGACTGGGCCTGTTTGTGTCTCCTGCTGTTGGAGGAGTCTTGCTGCCTCAGACGTTGAACAAATGAATGAGCTGCAACATTCACAGGACTTGGATCAGAACTGTGTGTTTGAAAAGCTGGGACCGAGCGAGTAGGTGTTGCTGATGCTGCAACTCACCCAGAGCTCCTTTGGGCACAGACAGGAGTTTAATTGGCTCAGCGTCGGGGGACAGTCCGGATGCTTTCTGCAGAGCTCTCAAGATTTCAGTGTTCTTTAGAAAAAAAAAACACAACAAATCAAAGACCTACCATGATTAGAGGGAATACATACTGTACTGTACACTGTGTAGTATATGTCAGAGAGAGAGAGAGCACCTTTCCACCGAGTTCATAAGCAGAGTCCAGTGGAGTCCTCTGCCTCTTGTTCCTGAGTCCAGGCGCAGCTCCGTTCCTCAGCAGCAGCTCCACCACAGCCTGGTGTCCTCCTCGTACCGCCTCATGCAGAGCCGTGTTACCCTGCAGGTTGGCTACATTCATCAGGGCGTGACTCTGCACACATGTTCAGACGCCCCCATCAGGTCCTCACATCCACACGCCACGTCGTCGTTGGGTCAGAGTGTGTGTGTGTGTGTGTGTGTGTGTGTGTGTGTGTGTGTGTGTGTGTGTGTGTGTGTG